TTTACTTCGTCTCTGAGCTCATGACGGTCGTCTTCCAACATTCTGATATTATCTTGCAAGGAACGGATGACTTGTTCTCTATAGTGAAAAAGTTCAGAGAAAGAATGCCATGGATAAATATTCCAGCTTCAGGGCCATCATTAAGCGGGGGTGTTGGCCTGTTAGGGCTATGACACACCCGGCCCTTGAAAACAAGTTGTCAGAAAATGACGAAATTGTTGGCGATTTCTTAAAAACTATATTTTCGATCTAATCAAATTTCGCCACCCCCCCCAAAAAAAAAATTGAGGTAACCTCCTTTAACGATGAGTAATGTATATCAACACCTAACTTTCAGCTAACTTACAATTCTTCTTTCTCAATTCTTGCCTCTTCGAGAAGACTGTGACCATATCTGTATAATTCAGAAAAATTAGTATTATATCGTTCAAGAGGAGAATCTTTTGCAATACGCTAGACCTCCCTTTACAAATGCCAGAACGCCTTTTACAAATGCCAGAACTCCCTTTTCAAATGGCAGAACTTGGTTTTCAAATGCCAGAACTACCTTTTCAAACGCCAAAACTGCCTTTACAAATGCCAGAACTTCCTTATCAAATGGCAGATGCCAGAACTCCCTTTACAAATGCCAGAACTCCCTTTTCAAATGCCAGAACTCCCTTTTCAAACGGCAGAACTCCCTTTACAAATGCAAGAATTCCTTTTTCAAATACCAGAACTCCCTTTACAAATGCCAGAACACCCTTTACAAATGCCAGAACTTCCTTTTCAAATGGCAGAACTTGGTTTTCACATGCCAGAACTACTTATTCAAACGCCATGCACAAACTCCCTTTACAAATGCCAGAACTCTCTTATCAAATGGCAGAACTCCCTTTTCAAATGCCAGAACTCCCTTTTCAAATGGCAGAGCTTGGTTTTCAAATGCCAGAACTACCTTTTCAAACGCCAAAACTGCCTTTACAAATGCCAGAACTTCCTTATCAAATGGCAGATGCCAGAACTCCCTTTACAAATGCCAGAACTCCCTTTTCAAATGCCAGAACTCCCTTTTCAAACGGCAGAACTCCCTTTACAAATGCAAGAATTCCTTTTTCAAATACCAGAACTCCCTTTACAAATGCCAGAACACCCTTTACAAATGCCAGAACTTCCTTTTCAAATGGCAGAACTTGGTTTTCACATGCCAGAACTACTTATTCAAACGCCATGCACAAACTCCCTTTACAAATGCCAGAACTCTCTTATCAAATGGCAGAACTCCCTTTTCAAATGCCAGAACTCCCTTTTCAAATGGCAGAGCTTGGTTTTCAAATGCCAGAACTACCTTTTCAAACGCCAAAACTGCCTTTACAAATGCCAGAACTTCCTTATCAAATGGCAGATGCCAGAACTCCCTTTACAAATGCCAGAACTCCCTTTTCAAATGCCAGAACTCCCTTTTCAAACGGCAGAACTCCCTTTACAAATGCAAGAATTCCTTTTTCAAATACCAGAACTCCCTTTACAAATGCCAGAACACCCTTTACAAATGCCAGAACTTCCTTTTCAAATGGCAGAACTTGGTTTTCACATGCCAGAACTACTTATTCAAACGCCATGCACAACTCCCTTTACAAATGCCAGAACTCTCTTATCAAATGGCAGAACTCCCTTTTCAAATGCCAGAACTCCCTTTTCAAATGTCAGAACGCCCTTTACAAATGCCAGAACTCCCTTTACAAATGCCAGAACTCCCTTGTCAAATGGCATGCAGAACAGACAAAATTCCGTTCTCAAAGCGTTACGTAACATGCGCTCAAAACTAATTCATTTTGATACGTTTTTCAAGCGGCAAACAAAGTTTAAAAATTGCCTCTTAAACACAGCTACACTATAGCTACCAAGAGTTTGCGTAACAAGAGCACGCATTCCTAGGGTATACACATGCAGTAACACTATAAAATGAACATTTAATATTTTATCGTATTCGTTAGTACTACTGTATATTTAGTCTAATTGTTTTTGTTTGTGGAAACACCACGTAAATTTATTACTGCAGTAATAAATTTACGTGGTGTTTCCACAAACAAAAACAATTATATTTTATCGCCATGCAAACTTTCAAAGAACTTATATTTAGTCTACTGCACCTTGGTTGTGGTAAAATTGGTGGTGGAACATGTCTCGGAGACCTAAAGTAAAATTGCAATTAAACGTGTTAAGTGTGGTTTGCTAGGGCACATATTTTCAAGCAATTACTGTGAATTTGATATTAAGGACATCGTTTACAAAGTGTCTGGTATACAACATACTTTAAATCTCCTTGTACACGCAAGTTCTGAGTGATTCGTTGTTGTTGAGACGACTTTGCCCGGCTGTGAACACCCTTGAAGCAGACAGTAGCAACGTGAAAATTAAGCCACCCTCTGTGTCGGTGTACCTATCTGGCTACTACACAATTACATGATTGTGATCATTTTTATGATTTAATGCTAATATGATTAAATTACAGTTCATTCCAGCAAATAGCCAAAATACAACCGACTGTTTTTTACCGAATTCACTTTTGCTTTGACATGGCCATAAGGTGAAGGTCGTTTTGATCCACCCTGTGACTGCTGCTTCGCAAGTGTGAGCTGTAAAAAAATGTTGGCCATTTAAAACCAAGAACTATTAGGGTGAAAATTAAAGAACCATAGAATAACACAATAAGGGGCCATTCACAAAGGATGTCCGGCCAAATGATGGATTTTCAGACCCCCCCCCCCTCCCCCCCTTGTCCGGCATTGTCCGAATTAGTGACC